TAACATTGCATGGCATGCCATGCCATGGCGCGGGACAGTGTAGTATGGGATGGCACTGTGTAGCCCAGCATTGCATGTCACAGCGTTGCAAGGTAAGACATGGAATCGCATAATAACGGTACACAGCATAACAATGAATTGCATACGATGACTGCTCGACTGGTGCTGCAGCGGGAGCCACATTTTGAAGAGCCAAAACGAAGGAAATGAAGCCAACGCTGCAGCGGGAACACCATACGAAGTACCGGAAACGCGAAAAAAAGACGGGCGCTGCAGCGGGGACGCGATTTTGAAGGAGCGGAGGTGCGGATATAAGCCCAGCGCTGCAACGGGAGAACCATTTTCATGGGCCAAGAACTATCGGATGGGAAGACCACATAAGAAAGTCATTTTTTACCTAACAGCGAAGACTGATAGGTTTCTAGTGGTGTCAAAAGAAAGCATCATGACTCCTCAGGGGGGTCGGGGCGGGACCCGGGGAGGCTGCCGCCGAAGCCGAAATCGCTTGGGACATCCTCGCAAAATCGCTCTTGGTGCTCCCAGAACTCCATTCCCGGGCCACATTTTGGATGCCCGGAGCCAACTGTAGGCCACTTCGTGCTCTTCGACTTCCCAGAACTCCATTCCCGGGCCACATTTTGGATGCCCGGAGCCAACTGTAGGCCACTTCGTGCTCTTCGACTTCCCAGAACTCCATTCCCGGGCCACATTTTGGATGCCCGGAGCCAACTGTAGGCCACTTCGTGCTCTTCAAGTTCCCAGAACTCCATTCCTGGGCATGATTTTGAATGCCCGGAGCCAACTGTAGGCCACTTCGTGTTCTTCTAGTTCCCAGAACTCCATTCCTGGGCCACATTTTGAATGCTGAGGCAGGCTGATGCTGCGGCCGAGGCAGGCTGAGGCTGAGGCAGGCTGAGGCTGAGGCCGAGGCTGAAGGCAGACTGAGGCTGAGGCTGAAGCAGACTGAGGCTGAGGCTGAGGCAGGCTGAGGCTGAGGCTGAGGCAGGCTGATGCTGAGGCAGGCTGAGGCTGAGGCTGAGGCTGAGGCTGAGGCAGGCTGAGGCTGAGGCAGGCTGAGGCTGAGGCCGAGGCTGAAGGCAGACTGAGGCTGAGGCTGAAGAGGCTGAGGCTGAGGCTGAGGCAGGCTGAGGCTGAGGCTGAGGCTGAGGCTGAGGCTGACTGCTGCGACTGCCGTTGCCGCTGCGACTGTCATCGCGAATGCGACTACGACTGCGAGAACAGCAGAATTCTACAACTGGATTTTCATCTGAATCTTAAGGGGAATGCTTTCAGATATGCTTCTACACATCGCTGTTAGGTTGCTTTGCCAGGATAATTTGAAACCCTGTGTTCCAACGACGCGGACAGGACGGGACATCTTCTGGACATAATCAATAATGGAGAGAGGAGGGTAGTGCGCATGGTGCATGACTGTAGAAGGGCAGGCTAAGTGCGCTTGCGCCATGTCTGACATCCTACCCCTCCCACCGATCCCGCTCCATTGCGCTGATTTTTGTTCACCCGCCGACAGGTGTTGTCGCTGACCTACGACCCCCCAAGTAAGCCCATGGAGTGATGCACGAGCAAAAGGGGGGGGCGTACATTGGAGGAGGTAGAGGGGGAGGTGGCAGATGGAGAGTGGAGAAATATGTTTATGAAAGAAAGAGAAACAACAAAAATAATCAGAGAGAGGGGGGGAAACAGAGAGAGAGAGAGAGAGAAATAACAAAATGTTAAAAAACAAGGAAAGATAGAGAGAGGGGGGAAATAACATCGAAAGAAGGGATGAGAGCGAGGACCGCGATCGCGCCACGCCTGGCACCCTGCACCCCCCGCGCCTCCCCCCCTCGCAGGCGCCTGGCACGCCCGCCCAAAACGCCTCGACCGCCGTGGGACGCAGCACGGCGCGCTAGTCCGCCGACCCCGGCTGGCATGAGTTCCAAATTAGGACCGCCCACCCGACAATTCCTAGCCTGGAACGCCCCGACCTCCACCCCGACCCCCACCGCGCCCGACACCCCCAGCCCCCTGCAGCCCCTGGGCACAAGTTCCCAAGACCACTACCTGTGAAAATTCACAACCCGGAGCCCACCCCGATCCCCGCCCGCCACGCCAGACCTCCCTAGCCTCCTGCAGCCTCTGGGCATGAGTTCTCAGGACCCCATCCACCCGGCAGTTCTTAGCCCAGAGCCCACCCCGACCCCCGCCTCGACCCCAACCTCGACCATCACCGCGCCAAACATCCCTAGCCTCCTGCCCGACCCCCACCACTCCCGACATCCCGTGCCTCCCGCACTCTCTGCGCATGAAGAATTCGGACCCCGACCCACCTGACAGTTCCTAGCCGGGAACCCACCCCGATCCCCACCCCGACCCCCATCGCGCTTGAAATCCCCAGTTTCCTGCCCAACCCCCACCACGCCCGACAGCCCCAGCCTCCTGCAGCCTCTGGGCACGAGTTCTTCGGACCTCTCCACACGGCTGGCCCGGAACCCACCCCGACCCCCGCCCCGACCCCCGCCGCGCCCGACACCCGCAGCCTCTTGCAGCCTCTCGGTATGAAATCTTTGAACCCCTCCACCCGACAATTCCCAGCCCAGAACCCACCCCGACCCCCGACCCGACCCCCGCCGCTCCCGACATCCCCAGCCACATGCAGCCTCCGGACATGAATTCTTAGGACCCCTCCACCCACAATTTTTAGCCCAAAACCCACCCGGACCCCCGCCCCGACCCCCGACCCCCGCCTCGACCCCCGCCGCGCTCGACATCCCCAAGCTCCTGCTGCCTCTGGGCATGAATTCTCAGGACCCCTCCACCCGACCATTCCTGACCCGGAATCCACCCCGACCCCCGCCCCGACCCCCGCCGCGCCAAACGTCCTAAAACTCCTGCATCATCTGCGCATGAGTTCTTCGGACCCCTCCGCCCCACAATTCCTAGCCCGGAACCCGACCCCTGCCCCGACCCCCACCGCGCTCGACATCTCCAGCCTCCTGCAGCCTCTGGGCATGAGTTCTTAGGACCCCTCCAACCCCCCGACCCCCGCCCCGACCCCCACCACGCCCGAGATCCCCAGCCTCCTGCAGTCACTGCGCATGAATTCTTGGGACCCCTCCACCCGACACTTCCTAGCTAGCACGGAACCCGCCCCGACCCCCACCTCGACACCGGACCCCCGGCCCGACCCCCACCACGCCCGACATCCCCAGCTCCCTGCAGCCTCTGGGCATAAACTCTTAAGACCCCTCCGCCCAACAATTCCCACCCCGGAACCTACCCGGAACCCCGGCCCGACTTCCGCCCCGACCCCCACCACGCCCGACAGCCCCAGCCTCCTGCAGCGTCCTGCAGCCTCCGCCTCACTCCAGCGAGTAAGCAACAGCAGTACAGCTGCAAGAAAACAGAACACCCACGAGGAGTGACGTCGCCAGAACGCTGCCTGCGAATATTCGTATTCATCACTCCCCTTTATTATTGTCTAACCCATCCGATTAAAGAGACCAGCGAAGAAAATGTCATTCCTGCGCGCTTACCGAGTGTTACCGAGAAACGGCGACGTGACTCGCCCCACGCAAACCCGCCCCAACAAAAAAACGGCGAACAAAACGCAAATCTTCAGTGAACCTCTTCGAACAAAACAACGACGGCGATACGCCAAAACACTTACCGGGACACATGCGAACCCTGCCACAGGGGCCTTTTGTGAAACTTCCTGAATCTCCTTATGAAGCCACACACCGTGTGAGGGGCGTGCCAAAATTGGACTTGGGACGCATGTGAGCCCTGCTATTGAGGCGTTCGGTGGAACTCCCTATGAGGCCACGAACCGTGTGATATGTGCGTGTGTGTGCGTGCGTGTGTGTGTGTGTGTGTGTGTGTATGTGTGTGTGTGCGTGTGCGCGTGCCCAATTTTGCAGGGGGCATATGTGAACCCTGGCACTGGGGCCTTCGGTGGCGCCCCCCATGAGGCCACGCGCCCCAAGGAGGCCCGCGAGCAAACCGCGGCCCGCCTCACGCGCCCCAAAGAACGCTGAGGAACCCTGGAAAAAAACGGCGACGAAAGATCCTGCGAAGACTTAGTGCACTCCCCGAGAAAACGGGAAACGGCGACGCCCAACTTTGGGGAGTTACCCACTGGAGTCTCCGTTGAGGGGGGTGACATATTCGTCACCTGGTGATCGACCGCCGTATGAAAAAAAACAACAGGGAGAGGTCGCCACCATAATACTGGACAGCCATAACGAGAACGAAATGACGCAGAAGTGGGGCCATGCCTCAACCGAGATGTCTGCGGATCGTTGGCCTCAGCCATGCCGATGACTATTTTTCTCGTACTTCTTTGTCCGTTACGATTACGACTGCGACTGTCATTGCCGCTACTTTCGATGCAACCAGTCGTATATCGACTACTATTGCTAAGACTATGTCTGGGGTCGGCGGCATAGGCGGCAGCCTTTAGATCATTATGAGTCATCCTTGGAGACAAGCGTTCGACCAGATCATGTAGTACAACAATCCTCTCGTATATCGTTACCCCAGCGGTCTGGCCAGAAAACTTGAACCAGCGAGCATGTACTATAATACTGTGCGCGCACGTCGCCTCTGGGGGGCCGACGCATATGTAGTATAAGTGCGCTTGGGTGATGCTGGCCACAGATCTACTCGACATCACGCTCTTTCAGACCCACGCGCTTAACAGCACACGATTCACAGGAGGGTGAGGAGGGGGCGGAGGAAGAACAGAGGAGGAGAAGGGGGACGCTGCAAAATCGTCGATTGCTTCGATCAAACTCGGTGTACAGTAATTAAGAGGAGGAGGAGGAAGAAGAGGAGGGGGAAGGAGGAGGAGGAAGGGGGAGGGAGGGGGAGGGAGGGGGAGGAGGAAGAGTAGAAAGAGGAGGAAGAGCAGAGGAGGATGAGGACCAGGTGACCAGCAGAAGAGCAGAGTAGGACGAGCAGGCCTCAGAACGAAGCCCCCCCCCCCCGTGGGAACGGGCCTCCCCAGCCTGCAGCGCCCCCGCCAGCGCCAGGGTCCTGCCAGCCTCCCCACCCCGCGCCGCCCTGCTGGCCTGTCGCCGCGGCCGTGCGCTGAAGACGGCTCACGCCGCCGCCGACGACGACGGCGATGGCGACGGCGACGACGCTGACGCAAGCTGACGACGACGCCGAGGCCGAGGCCGACGCCGACGACGACGTTGACGCTGACGCTGACGCTGACGACGACGACGACGATGCCGACGCCGACGCCGATTCCGACGACGACGACGACGCTGACGCTGACGCTCATGCTGATGCCCACGCTGACGCTGACGCAAACGCTGACGCTAACGACGACGCTGAGGCTGACGCTGACGCTGACGCTGACGACGACACCGACGACGACGCAGACGCCGATGCGGACGACGACGACGACGACGACAAAGACGACCACGATGACGACGACGACCAAGACGACCACGACGACCACGACGACGACGACGACGACGCTGACGCTAACGCTGACGACGGCGTCGACGACGACAAGGACGACGCTAATGTTAACACTGATGCCCACGCTGATGACGACTCTGAGGCTGACGTTGGCGCTGACGCTGAGGCTGAGGCTGACGACGACGAAGCTGAACCTTACGCTGATGCTGACGGCGACGATGACGACGACGATGGCGGCGGTGGCGGACTCCTCGCTCCTCGCTCTTCGTCACCCTTGCCACCCATGGCCAGCCAGCACGGGATTGGCAGATCGGATCGGATCCCAGCGCGCGTCGAATCGGGCAGCCTCGGCACGGCGGATTGATCGGATCGGCATCGGTCCAGCGCTCCTCGCTCCTCGTTCCTCATCCTATTCGTCCCTCGCGCCTCCATCCGTATCCTTGTATAGTCAACTCCTCCTCCTCCTCCATTTCCTCCTCCTCCATTTCCTCCTCCTCCACTTTCTCCTCCTCCTCCTCCGTGTCATTCCCCCTTCCATCGCTTTCCGATGGAAGGTTCATCTTTTATCAAGTTGCGGCTCTCGCTTCAGCGCCGCGAACACTCGTCCTGAAAAAAATGGCAACAGCTTCAAGGGTCAGAGGAGGACGATGGGGGCCTGAGAAGAGGGGCGGGGAGACGAAGAAGGAGGAGGAGGAGGAGGAGGAGGACGACGACGACGACGAACAGGCAGGGGGCGAGGATGGGGAGGAGGAGGAGGAGGAGGAGGAGGAGGAGGAGGAGGAAGAGGAGGAGGAGGAGGAGGAGGAGGAGAGGAGGAGGAGAAGGAGGATGTTCCTACAGGCCTGCGGCTTACAAAACAGGGGGAAGGAAGAATAGGCAGCAGCAACGGCAGCATCAGGAAGAGGAAAGAAAGCGGCAGAGTTGGCTGCAACAGCATCGGCCGCGGGCCGCGGCGGCTACCCAGTACATTTGGTCTGGGAGACCTGCGGCAACACCCTGTCCACCACCATGCACAACGATCGTACGCCCGACTCCTCCTCAGCCGACAAGCGGGTTCAACAAGGCTGTGGTTGTGCCAACAAGTCTCTGCCGCGACTACTTCGGCAGGCCATGCACCGTGAACGTAGGGGTTGCCCCGTCACGCCGCGTTGGGCGCCGCTGTCGTGTGGCACGACACGTGACGTGCGGGCCGCTTTCGAGGCCCGTATACTGGCACGTGGCAGAACGCACTCACGCTGCCACGGCGACGAGCAGGCAGCAATACACAACAGGAGTGCGCACTGAAGCAGATTCGAGGCGCAGCCCGCTCTCAGCACTGCCAGAACCAGAAAGGAGGTTTGAGCCGACACGGCCCCCAGAACTTGACAGAGCCATCTCCACCTGTGAAGTCCATGCAGCCCTCGGCGCTAGACTCATCGAAGCTCACCTTCATCACGATCGCGGAGCCCTCCGTGATCACGTGCGTCGGGATGTGCGAGATGAAGCTCCACGATCTCTTGAACGCCCTCGTGTGATGTTGCGCACGTATGTCTAGCAACATGACGATCATAAGGTCCACGGCGCGGAACGAGGCCCACTCGCTGTCGCCACAGCACGCCAGCTTCGACAAGATTGGAGTCGGGAGTGCTCAAAGTGGCGCACGTATTGAAGCCAGTGGACATGAAGGCCTCGTAGCAATAGTTCTGAATGCCCTTGATTACGCCCGCGGAGCGCATTTGGGTCACGGCGCAGATCTCCTCGTAGCTCGCCACCTTCGTCAGAGGTCCCTGATGGGGCACGGGCAAACCCACTCTTCATCGAACCAAGCCACGCGCTTGACGACGGCGGGGTCCGCCGCGATGCCAAACTTGGAGTGGGGGGCGTTGAAGCTGGGGTACGTCTCGAAGACGTTGGACGAGGCGGCCTCGTCGCAATGGCTCTGGGCGCTCTTCATGACGTCCTCAGGGTGTCCCCCGGTCGTGGGGCTGATCTCCTCGTAACCCGTCGCCTTCGCCAGCTCCCACGAGCCGACGCATCGACTGCGAGGTCCTCGCTGCGGCACGGGTAGCCTCACCCGTTATCGAACCAGGCCGCCAGCTTCACGAATGCGCGGCCCACCCTGAGGCCATCCCTAGAGAAAAAGGTGTTGGAGACGTGACAGTTGCTTCGACCATCCCCAATTGTAAGGTTCAGGTTCGTAGCGTTCGGAGCGCTGCGGGGAACCCAGCGGCCTCTTGGAGCCCCGGGGGCTCTAGGAGGCACGGCGAAATCAATAGACTCCACTCTCGGCCGCCTGCTCACCGTGAGCCTTCTCACGATGGCAGACGGGCGGTCAGACCAGGCCTCTGACAGAGAGCGGTGGCGGCGCGATGTGACACGCAGTCGAGCCTCAAACACTTGCGTGGGAGTTCCCGAGGCACAATAACGCCGCGCGTTCAGTGCCGCCAGAAAAGCGTCACAGCACGCAGCACGCAGCAGCAAAACATCGATCGGTGCAGAGAAGAGGAGGCGAAGGAGACACAACCAGTATGGCTGCCGACCGGGCTCACTGGAACGACCCACTCGAAACCCAATCCACTCTCGAATCAGTTTCTCTAACATAGGACAGCTATAGAATGATGAACATCGTCTAGGTCCCGAGGAACATCTGTGGTACAACCGAAAAAGCAGCCCCTTGGGCTCGTGTGGGAACGAGATGATGTGCTAATCGGGCTCGTGAGGAGGCGGAGGGGAGCGACGGCTAGGTACATTGATGTGCACTTCGCTACCTCTCGCAGATTCTGACAGAACGTCTCGATAACCTGGGCATCTATCTCGGCGCACAGGCTGCGGGCGCGGCGTAGTAAAATCCCTGTTGCATCCTCCATCTGGTCTTGTTTCCGAGCGAGGCGATATATCTTAGTCGAAAACGATTTCCCAGTAGTGTCCAGATCGTTAGGGAGAGAGCGGTACCAATTCAACAACTTCCGAAGGGGAGAGATGAGGGAGTTCGCATACCAACCTCGATGCCAACGAAAGGGGATATGTTCTAGGTTCTCACGGTCTTCTTGGAGGTGCTCAAGGGATTCAGAAACAGCAGCTGAGCGTACAGCAAATCTGGCGCCCGCGGCCTTCTCGACCGCATGAATATGATGGAACCCCATTCCGAGACTACTCGCACTCAGCTGGGTGGCCAGCTCGTATGAGATAGCGTGCCTTGGGCCAATCGTCAAAAGGCGCACGCCTTCTTTGAAACATTGAATCAGTTCCAGGGAGGCGGGGTACATTTGGAGGCGGTACTGAAGAAGAGAGACGCACATGACACGGACTGACATAGCCGAGAGTGCCAGGCTTAGCCCAAGAGCACGCGTCAGCCTAATCCTCTTCCGAAATTCGACAATAACCGTGTCCCAAACATGGAGGTGCCCATGGGGCCCAGTAGGAACCCCCAGATATATGGCCCAAGAGTCCACCAGGAGCTTGTTAACAGGGTCTCCAAACTGGCCAAGCGTCTTTTCCAGGATGCAAAGGTCCAACTCCCCGCAACCTATGATCTGGCACTTCTTAAAATTCAGCTTCAGTTTCGCAACACCAGCGAACATCTGGAGGCCGTGCAACAGAGGGCCGAGATCGCGCAGGGTGTTCATCAGCCCAAACATAAGGTCGTCTGCGTAAGCAAGGTTGATCGATATGTGTGGGAACAGGAATGACGAAGCCATCGGAGGAGAGGGTCAGTATCAACTACATATAATAACATGGATGCAGGACAGCCCTTCTTAACACCTGACTGGATGTCTATCGTGCCATATTTCTGACCCGCGAGCATGATCACCCCAGTGTTGTCACGGTACATCATGCGAAAAAAAGTTCACGACGGCGGCAGGCAGGTCCATGCACGGCAGCACATTAAAGGGAGCCACTCAGAAGGGAGCGAAGGGAAAGCGGCAGAGAAGTCGGTGAGGAAGATGGATGCGCACTGCTGCGCGCACATGTTGACGAATGCCCCAAGTTTCCGCCCGAGTGACGTGCGCAGTCATGCCCCTTCCCCGCAAGCACGCTTGGTCCTTATCGATTAGGTGACTGAGGTTCGAAGTTAAAGCAATCGTCATCGCATTCGCTAGCCACTTAATATCAACGTTGCTCATGCTGAGAGGGCGGGTGCAGGACGGGTGCCGCACCAGTGCCGTGCCGTCCGCAGGATTTTGCGGGCCCGTGCCCTTGGGTAGAAATACCATCAGGCTCTCCAACATGGAACGTGGGAGCGCGTCAATGTCTGAAGTGAAGAGCAGGCTGTACACGTCATATAGAATACGCGCGGCTGTCTCGTTGCGCCAGGTCGAGTAAGGAATCCCGTCGGGCCCAGGCATACTGTTGGGTCTATGTAAAATTCCGTCATACCAAATACTGAACGGAATCTGCCAATCTATTTCCAGAGGGCCTTCAAGACGGTGGATGCGGGGTTCAATTTGGGCCCAAAGATCGGGCCTCACCTCGGGCCGCCGAAATATACATCCCAGTAAGCCTCAAGAGCCACCGCGGAGGCCTCCATCGCCTCTATCGTGTTACATACCGTCGTCATCGGAGATGCCGGCCAGGTACGCGCGTCGTCTCCATCGTCGGTATGGCGGGCATTGCATGCAAGTAGTGACTGTTTCTGTTCCTCCTCCACCTTAGACCTCCGAATGTCCAGTTCCTCCTCCTCCAATATCTTGGTATAAAGAGCTTGCACGTGCTGGCAAAGGTCGCCACTGTTGCGGCACTGCTCTAGGTCCTGGCTGAAATGCACCCTCGGGCGCGGGTAGCAGCCCACTGCCTGCGGCAGGCGACGGGGCTGGCCGAGGCGGACAGCGCGCAGGGCGGCAGGAGCGTGAAAGTGTCGCTCCTGCAGGTACAGGCCTTACGAGATCGAACGGCACGTCTCGCGGCAGTGGATGCCTCGTAGAAACAACCTTTGCCATATTCGAGCTTGCGCCACGCGCCCCATGCCGCGGGAATTTGATTGAGAAGGGCACTCAAAGTTTCATGAAATTCAGGAGTCCGAGTAATCCACGCGGGGATTTGTTTATTGTCAGAGGAGGGGCAGAAGGGCGAAATAGAGGTAACCACAGGGATATGATCGCTGCAAGCCTGTCTCTGAAGAGTGCCAATGGCATACGTAAGTAAGATCCCGAAGAAGTCCAGGAGGAAGAGAGGTGCAAATCCGATCAATTCGCGAAGTGGACGAAACCGCTTCACCTCGAGTCCCACGGCGAGTGTCCTGATCCTGGTAAAGTTCCGTCAACATAGGGAAGGGTTTGTCGAAAAGCCTCGAGTGGGCAGGGCCCCCAGGACGAAAAGCCCCGGACGCGCCACAGGGGCGCCCTTCGTCTTCAAGAACGAAGTTGAAATCGCCAAGCACCAGACAATGCGCATGCTGCCCATCTCCACCAAGAAGGTGAAGCCGCATGTCATTCCCACGTGCCGTTAGGACTCCTTTGAAAATCAGCATGGGGTCGCAAGCGTTCGGGGAGGGGGGGGGGGGGGGGGGGGGGGGGGCGTTGTAGATAACCAACGTCCCCTGGGGACCCTGAGGGATCGTTTTAAAAACACGCCCCTGAATAATCTCCTGCCGTATTTCAGTAAACTGAGAGGTCGGCCTAGAAGAGATAGATGTGATGACACCACCTCCCCTGCAACTGTCGAGGAAGGAGGCGCCGAACTGGTGCCCACGGAGCTCGCGCTCCAACTCGTTGAGGTCGCCGATATGGCCGCGTGTCTCTTGTGTGCATACAATGTCGTGTTTCTTGAGCAGGTTAAGGTATGTGTGATAATGTGTAGAGGCTGTCTTACTCGATGTACGTACTGAAGTCATCAGCGCCCGGCAGTTCCACGTGCGTACAGTAAGAGGAGAACTCGGCATAAAACAACCGACAGAAGTAAGAGGGCAAGCGGGCGGGGGAGGTGGAACCGACGCTCTGTGCGCGCAGTCCTCATCAGCGGCGAAAGGGCCGCTGGAGTTGCACCTGCGCTGCTGCTTCTATTGATGCTGCGTGCTGTGAGAGATTAAACTCTAGCAGGGCATCTCGGTCAAGGCAACAGTCGATGGCCCCTTGGCTGTCAAACGTGACTGCTGCGACCTGCACTGGGTCGCGCGGGCCGCGAAGAATGTAGACACTGCCTCCTGATCCCGACGAGCCGACTTCGATTCCCTTGTCGCGGACTGGCTCCGTAACGCGATTGCGGACCTTGCCGAGAGATTACAAAAAGCTGCCGGCTGTTCGGATTCATGTCACGCCGCGGCCTGAGCTGCACAGATATGGACTGGTTCAGTGGCTCTGGGAACTCCCAAACTTTGTTCCGCGCCAGGAAGTTGTCCATGCATGAACCTGCCGCCAATGGGGTCTCGAATGTGGAGCGTGACCTTTTTGCTCATGTCGAAGGCCCTCACGATCACACGGTCCGCCGTGTGCGAGGGTGCGAAAGTAGTACGACATTGATCTCCAAGCATCCGTTAACCTTTGACTAACATCTTCCTAATAGCACCAGCTTGCACGTTTGATATTGCAACTGCCCTCTGTCCTGTGTGGGATTGGCTCTGGTGGTTCTTGGTGAAGTCGGGCCTGGCGTCGGGATAGAATGCATTTCGGCACGTTGCCGTTCTGCACACATCTGGCGAGAAAGAAGGTCTCCGAGGGAGGCTTCTATCTTTTCGAACTTAGACTGCATAGCCACATATACTGTGTCCGTGTCCATGGGGATGTCCGGCGACGGCGACTGCGAGTTCGATGCCACCTCATTCTGGAGCTGGGCAATCTTCATGTCCATCTCCTTGAGAGCACATGCTACGTGGTTATGTAGATCCTCGTGCCTCCGTTTGACATCTTGGCCCAGTAACACAACTTGATCCGATAACTGCAAGCATCTGGCGAAACTGCTCTGAGCGTTAGTTCGTAGTTCGTTCATGTCCTGCGAGTTTTGCATCATCATCTGGTGCATCGAAGAGTGTACCTGTGACATCACGAAGCTGACGGGCAAGCGAAATATCATCGCGATCCTCAGCACGTCCAGGACTGCGGCTGGCGGAGCGGCGAGTGCCAGAGGCAGAAGTAGACGAGGGGGAGAGTGAGCGAGCATCCGATCGTCGAGCACCTCGGCGGGAGTGCCGTTCCGCAGTGCGCAATTTCCCCATCGCGGCAACAGAACTGGTGTGCGAGTTGCTGTTGTACAAAATCAAAAGCGGCGCAGCCTCTGCCTCTGGGTGGGCTGCAGGTGGCTGTCCACGGCGCCGCTGAGCTAGACAGGCGACGGCGCTCAGGCCCCCTTTGGCCCCTGAGCAGGGGCCAAATGAGACTTGAGCCAAAATGGCTACGGAGGTGTTGGAGACGTGACATGACACGAAGCCGTTGGAAATGAAATCCTCGTCGCAGTAGCTCTTGCCGCTCTTCATGAGGCCCTCGGAGTGCTCTTTGATCACGGCGCAGATCTCCTCTTAGCACGTCGCCATCGACAGCTCGCAAGTGAGGTCTTCGAGGGACCCGTTGAAGGTGAGGCACCCGCTGTGGCACGAGTAGGCCCACTCCTTGTCGGAACACGCAACCATCGTCACGAACTTGGGGTCCGATATGACGCCAGTCTTGGAGTAGAAGGCGTTGGATATGGTGCACATCCCGAAGCTGTGGTCCATGAGGGTCTCAGCGTGCCCGCGGTGGAGGTCTTCGACAGACGCGCTGTTCTCGAGATCCCCGAGTAAGACCGCTCCTTGGCGAACCGAAACCCGAGCTTCGCGAACGTAGGGCCAGCCGTGATACCACCCTTGGAACAAGAGGATGTTGGATATGGGGCACGTCACGTAGTTGTTGGACATGACATGCGAGAGTTACCGTTCAAATAGGAGGTGGAGGAGGAGAAGGAGAAGGAAAATGAGGAGGAGGAGTTGGAGGAGAGGCAGGACTGGGGAGGAGGAGGAGGAGGAGGGCGAGGGGGGAGGAGGACGAGAGGGGGAGGACAAGCGCGCGCGAGAGAGCGCCCGCCGTCTTCCGCCGCGGCTCCGGCAAGCCACTCCGCGCCGCCCGCGCCGCAACCGCCCCCAGCCTGCCAGCCTGCCGCGGGCGAGAGAGCCGTGCCGCCGTGGCCGCCGACGACGGCAACGTTCGGGCACGCTTCGCGCGCGCTCAGGCTCTACCGGTCTTGGGAACCAGAAGTCATCGTGGAGAAAGGGCCGTTCCCGTCATCCGCCACCGTGCCGCTGGAGGCCTCTGGAGGCATCTGTCGGACCTCCTGGGGCCTCTGTTGGACCTCCTGGGGCCGCTTGAGGCCTCTGGGAGCCTCCAAGGACCTTCGGGGACCTCCTCAGGGAAAGGAGGCCTCCAGAGACCTCCTTTAGAAGGGTCTCTGCCTTCACAAAACCTTTTCATTAGCATCTGGGAGGTGGCCGGTTCCCTCTGAGTCCCCCTGCCTTCTTAGAAGGCCGCCCCCCTTCGCCGCCCTCACTCCATCGTGCGTGACGCGACGCCAGCCCATTGGGAGACAACCCCTGGGAGGTCTTCATAATAACGACGTCGTCGTCTTTTTCGTCGTCGTCATTTTTGTCGTCGTCGTCGTCGTCGTCGTCGTCGTCGTCGTCGTCGTCGTCGTCGTCGTCGTCGTCGTCGTCGTCGTCGTCGTGGTCGTCATCGTCGTCGTCGTCGTCCGTCGTCGTCGTCGTCGTCGTCGTCGTCGTCGTCGTCGTCTCCTCCTTCCTCCCTCCTCCCTCCTCTCTCCTCCCCTTCCGAAGGTCTACTACGCCCAATTAAATCAAGTATGGCCTTGTCGGGGCTCCGGTCAGCGGGTTGAACGGCCGCGGCTCCAGCTGCTCGTGCTCCCGCCGCTGCCTGTGCTTCTCGCCCTCCACCCTTCCCCTCAGCCAGCCAGGCAATCTACCCCGCTCACAGGAGCCCCTGAACAATCATACTCGATTAAGGAGCCGTTACACCAGATTAGCCCGGTTAAGCCCAGGGTTAAGCCAGCGCGGCGCGGAGCGAGCGTTCACCGACTTCCACATGTCGAAGAAGACGAAACTTCAGAAACATAAACTTTCGGAGGTCCGCGCGGGTTTCTTGGGTCGGCGCTGGACCCCCCTCCCTGGCGCGCGCCAGGGGCGGCGCTGAAGCGTCGCCAGTGGGGCCCAGCGCCGACCAAAAAGAAACCCGCGCGGCCGCCGTCGTCGGCCGCGTGGACCCGATCCATAAACCTCCGATCGCCCATTGATCGCCGGCCCTCCCCCCCAGGAACGTGCGGATCCCCATGGGGGGCCCCTCGCCGATCTATCGGCGATGCATCGCCGATTCGAGCTGGGTGCTCCCACCCCCCTGAGCGGGTTCCTCCCTAGCGTTGCCCATGATGTCCAGCCTTGGCCGCGAACAGTGGGGGTTACAATGCGGGTTGCACTGCATCTCTCCGCTCCGCTCCGCTTCAGTCCCACTGTACACTGCATCTCTCTGCTTCGCCTCCAGGCCCATCGTCGACGATGCTCGTTCGCTGCTGCAGCGTAGACAGATTTGGCCCGAAGATCCCCTGGGGGGCGGAACGCGTGGGCCTCCTCTTCTTTTCGCTGGAGACCCGATCCAAAACAGGTGCGAGGCGCGAGACGTCCCAAGAGGCACTGCAAGATGTGCCCCGTGCCGTTCCAACGAGCATCGCAGAAGTGCGTCCGTGACACTGCATGCACGGCACACACTCTGTTCACCCTCCACCGCACCTGGACCACCTCGAGCATACAGCCCTCCCTCGAAGAGAGACGATGCGAAGCGCGCTCATCTGCGCGCCACTACATGGGGCGACCTGGCCGTCGGAGGCGGCCGCGCCTCCGTCGCGCCCACCGCCCGCGTCCGCGGCCCAGGCGGCTCCGGCGTCCCAGCCGCCGGGCTTCTGCCGGTGCTCCTGGCGGGCGCGCGCAGCGCGCGGGCTCGGCGTCCGCGGCAGGCGGCCACGAGCCACCGCCGCACGGGGCCCTGCCCTGGCCTTCTGCTGCTGCTCCTCCCCCCCCCTGCCCTGCCCTGCCCTCGTTGCTTGCTTCCCCTTCTCCTCCTCAGCGTCCTTCTCCTCCTCCTCCTCCTCCTCCTCGCCATCTATGATCCTGCTCCTCCTCGTCCCTCGTCCTCGTCCTCGTCCTCGTCCTCCTCCTTCTCCTCCGCCTCCTGTTCCTCCTCCTTCTCCTTTTCCTCCTTTTCCTCCTCATCCTTTTCCTTTTCCTCCTCCTCCTCCTCCTCCTCCTTCTCCTCTTCCTCCTCCATCTCATCCTCCTCCTCCACCTCCTCCACCTCCTTCTCCTCTTCCTCCTCCTCTTCCCTCGTCCTCCTCCCCCTCGCCGTGTTGCTGCTGCTGTTTCTCCTCCTCCTCCTCCTCCTCCTCCTCCTCCCTCCTCTTCCTCCTCTTCCTCCTCCTCCGCCTCCTCCTCCTGGTCCTCCTCCTCCTCCCTCCACCTCCTCGTCGTCATCGTCCTTGTTCTCGTCCTCGTCCCCGTTCTCGTGCTCGTCCTCGTCCTCATCCTCATCCTCATCAACATCATCATCACCACCACAACCATCACCACCATAACCACCACCACTATGATGATGATGATGATGATGATGGTGATCATCATCATCATCATCATCATCATCATCATCATCATCATCATCATCACCAGCATCAGCATCAGCATCAGCATCAGCATCATCATCAGCATCATCATCATCGTCATCATCATCATCAGCAACGCAGCAGCACCATCATCACCATCACCATCACCATCACCATCATCATCATCATCGTCGTCGTCGTCATCAGCAGCAGCAGCATCAGCATCAGCATCATCAGCGTCAGCATCACCATCATCCCCATCATCATCAGCATCATCATCATCACCATCATTATCATCATCATCGTCAGCATCACCACCGTCGTGATCATCGTCATCATCGTCATCACCATCAGCATCATCATCACCATAATCATCATCATCGCCGCCACCGTCATCATCATCATCATCATCATCATCATCATCATCATCATCTGCATCATCTGCATCAGCATCACCATCAGCACATCATCATCAGCAGCAACAACAGCTGCAGAAGCAATAGCATCATCATAATCAGCATCATCATCACAATCAACAGCATGACCATCATAATCACCAAAACCACCATCACTACCACAACAACCATCAGCATCATCATCAACAATTTCAGCATCATCCTATCAACCAACATCATCAGCATCATCAGCAGCAGCATCGTCATCATCAGCAGCACCATCATCAGCATCAGCAGCGTCATCACCATCATGAGCAACAGCATCATCATCATCACCATCATCGTCAGCATCATCTTCATCGTCCGCATCATCAACATCATCATCATGATCATCATGCTTATCACCATCATGATCGTCATCACCATGACCACCATCACCATCACCGCCACCATCTCCAGCACCATCACCATCACCATCACCATCACCAGCACCAGCATCAGCATCAGCATCAGCAGCATCATCATCATCAGCATCATCACTATCACCATTATCATCGTCATCCCCCTCCCTCTCCTCTGTGGATGATGGGCGCACGATGTTTTTCAACAGGCGATGGTAAGTGTTAGCGCCGGCCCGTGGGCTCTTGAGAAGCCCAACTGGCGCTTAAGCTCTCTCGCGACTCGGGCCGAAAACTACGGAGGTAGAAAAAAAACACCAAAAACGTCGTAACGCTTCTGTTTCTGCACCTCCCAGGAGACTCTGCGTTCGTTGCTACTGCACTGTACGCAGCAACAACAACAGATTCCACCAACCAACCCCAACCAACCTCCATTAGACACGCTGGCACTTTACCGCGTGGTCGCGTTGCAGTATGCTCTGCAGCGAAGGCAGACTGTTCCGCCACGCTGCACGCACACTTGCGGCCTGCTTTGAATTGTCGCACGGAATATTTGCGAAAGAATGAGACACAGATAGCTCACGCAACGCAAAATTGATGTGATGATACAGGAGAGGGTGGTACGGAACCGCCAACCACGCTGCATCATCAGTTTTCCTCGGGCGCCCTGCGCGAGGCTCCCAGGACCGCAATTCGTCTAAGAGGGAGGGGTGGGCATTCGCAAGTGTGAGTCTCTGTATAAATTCACCTCTGGCCCACTCCTTATGCACAGGAAACGCACACAGGCCAAACAGTGTACGCAACATGGCCACCGGCCACGAGCGATGCACGTGAATGGGGTGACCACTCGAGTGGGACAGGGGAATGGCCAGGGCGGTATCTTTGAAGGCAGGGGAAGCGAACGCCCTGCCATAGTCACTATGGACCCAAAGCTGTAGCCAATGGGTATCTCTATGCCCTATCTCGTCCAGGACCATGCGAAAGTAGACTGCGCGCCCCTGGATGAGCCTAAGAAATTCAAAAACAGTTCGTACTTAGTGCATCCTACCAGTATGTCGTCTTTGAACCTCATGTACACCCACACTTGAAAATCTCTGATGAGCGAGGCCTGGGAGAAGAACTTTTCCGTCAGATTGGTGAGGCAAGCGTCGGCGACGTCGCCGCTGTGGATCAACCCCATCCCCGACCCCTTGATGACCTGATGACGGGTGGCGGGGTCGTGAGGGCTGACCACGAATTGACAGCTGAGCAGCAGAAGTAGAGCGCGTTGGACCAGAAGCTTCAAATCGCCGTGCAAGTGCAAGCACGCGTCCCGCGCCAGCTCCTCCGCCGTGCCACTCATGAAGAACTCCTTCAAATCTACCTTTGCCCAGCGCATGTTCCTAGGGAACGCGCGTGTCCTGAGACGTCTTGCTGCGTCCCTGGCGTCGCGTACAATCCACGGGATCGTGTCCAAATACCTGCGCAGGACTCTTGAAACCCACCGGGACAGGCCTGCGAACGAGTACTTGGGCTGAGTATGAAGTGCTCGAAAAGTTACTGGCTGCTTATGAGTCTTGCATCTTTTCTGGAGTAAGGCTGTTATGCTGGCTCCCGGGACGTGCATGCTGCGCTTGATCTGGAAAGCAAGCGACTCATCGTCCTCGTGCCGCCCAACAGCTTGAGCGACGTCACTGTACCACTCCATAATGCCAGTGAATTGTATTGGCTGGGTGACCTCCTCGTAGTTACCATTCTGCAAAATGCGCTGATCGATGAGACGATCATGGCAACGGTGCACAAGTGTGAACCCCACTTCCTTGTCGTTTGGTATCGCGACGTAAGGCGACTGCGACATCAAGCGTAATGCCCATTTTGTGAGCGGCGACACATTGGTCGGTCGGATCCTGTGCACCCAGCGTCGCCTGCAATTCTTGAAAGCAGTCGCCACCACCGACTTCGAATCGGAGACCCAGCAGTTGATGTGCACTGGGACGAAATGAGGACACGGTGGCGTTACGACGCCAGGAATTCTGATGTGCGCAGTCCGTGGGGAGCCGAGAAAATGCCAACGCCATCTCAACTTATTTGTAAACTGGTTCACGTCTGCAACCAAAGACTGGTAATCCGGCAACTTTCTTGTGAAGAAGATGTGTTTGGGATTGTGACAAGCCAGCAGCCACACTATCGGCCACGGGACACATGCAGAGCTCCTAAGCGAGCTCGATTCGTAATCGAAGACACGCACTCGTTCAGACAGTCTTGAATATTGCAACATCTGGGTCCACAAACCCACATTGGAGCCAGAACACAATTGCAATAACAACCGAAGATGAGCGCCGCGGTCTCTGGCATCCTTCACTGCCACTTGTTTGCTCTTCCTCCAAACCCTTTGCCTTTCGAGTCTTTGCCCTTTCCTTTGCCTTTTCCTTTTTTGGTCCGTTCCAACGGCCACGTTGCCCCCTTCGGGATCCAGTGCCACTGTCCGGACTTCGGTGCGTTGTAGCTGGTCTTGCCCTTGTCTTTGCCCTTGTCCTGGCTGCTCTTGCCCTTGCCTTTGCCTTTGTCCTCGCTGCTCTTGCCCTTGCTTTTGACTTTAGTTTTGCCCTTCTTGCCTTTGCCCTTCGGGGGACGGCGTTGCCCCTCGGGCTGCGGCTGGGGCTGGCCAGCAAGCGGGGCGGCTCCGTTTTTTGGCTGGGCCATCAACGCGACGAACTTGGAGGTGGCGTCGGTCTGGTCGCCGGTGGTCGTCTCGTTCGGGGCCGAAGCGTCCACAGCCATGGCACCAAGAGCCTGCTGGTCCAAGTTCGAAAACTTTTTGTCGACGATCGTGGAGGCAATGTGGGAGACAGCGTCCTGGAAGAGCGTCTCCGGTGCCACCTTCAGCAGTTTCTCTTCTTGCTTGGCGGCCTTCTCTTTCGCCTTCTCCTCGTTCTCCTTGCGTTTCTGCTCCGCGGTGGCCACCTTCTCGACGGCCTGGGCGTACAGGGCTTCGAACTTTTCCTTGATAACGTTCGGGTCGATGCGCTTAACCATCGGCTCGTCTAGGCCGAGCTCCGTTGCACGCATGGTGAAAGCCTTGTCAACCATCCCCTGGCACTCGTTCATGAATTGCTGCTTGGAGGCCGGTTCCATGGCCAGCTGCACGCTTTCCTGCAAGGCTTCGGCATCGATGCTGCGCAACGCATGGGCGTGGGCCATGTGGATGATCCTCTTGGCCTCCCTGCGCGTTGCCTGTTTGGGCACAGTCCACGCCGTGCCCAACAAATCGAACTGGTAGGCGTCGGTCGCGCACCGATCCCAAATCGAGTCCAATTCAACTTGGTGGATCGGCGACCGGAACGCTCTGATACCATTCGGGTAATGTCCGTCGACTAGGGCTTTCACGTCCTCCTCGGCTTTGCTATGCAGATGGCGTGCCTTGATCAGCTTCTTGGCCTTCTCTTCGTGGTCATGCGTCAGTTTCTCAAGGCTCTTCATCAACGGAGGCGGCAACTTCTTGAGAAAGTCCTCCGCTGGTGCCGTTGCCGCCGGTGCTCCAGCGGCAGCGGGAGACGGCGGAGGTGGTGTCGAGGCCACCTGAGGCACCACTTGTTTGATCATGTCGATGAAGTTGCGTTGCATTTGTGCCATCTGTTGCTGATACTGAATCTGCATCTGCTGCATCATCTGCTGACTTTGCTCGACCTGCGCCTGGGACTGCTCCGCCATGGCCTTGAGGAGCTTTGCGACGTTCGGCGATGCCGTCTCTGGTGCCGCTGACCCTCCACCAAGGCGGGGAACCTTGTCGTCCCGCATCAAGTCTGCAATAGCATCTGCAGCTCGCTTCTGTTCACTTTGTTCGCCTGCGGCCATCGTGCGAAAGCTGTGTGGCAAAGCCCGTGTGGATGATGGGCGCACGATGTTTTTCAACAGGCGATGGTAAGTGTTAGCGCCGGCCCGTGGGCTCTTGAGAAGCCCAACTGGCGCTTAAGCTCTCTCGCGACTCGGGCCGAAAACTACGGAGGTAGAAAAAAACACCAAAAACGTCGTAACGCTTCTGTTTCTGCACCTCCCAGGAGACTCTGCGTTCGTTGCTACTGCACTGTACGCAGCAACAACAACAGCAGCAGCAGCAACAGCAACAGCAGCAGCAGCAGCAGCAGCAGCAGCAGCAACAGCAGCAGCAGCAGCAACAGCAGCAGCAGCAGCAACAGCAACAGCAGCAGCAGCAGCAACAGCAGCAGCAGCAGCAACAGCAGCAGCAGCAGCAGCAGCAGCAGCAGCAGCAGCAGCAGCAGCAGCAGCAGCAGCACAACAGCAGCAAACAGCAACAGCAGCAGCAACAGCAGCAGCAACAGCAGCAGCAGCAGCAGCAGCAACAGCAACAGCAGCAACAGCAGCAGCAGCAGCAACAGCAGCAACAGCAGCAACAGCAGCAGCAGCAGCAGCAGCAGCAGCAGCAGCAGCAACAGCAGCAGCAGCAGCAGCATCACCATCACCATCACCATCACCATCATCATCATCATCGTCGTCGTCGGCATCAGCAGCAGCAGCATCAGCATCAGCATCAGCATCATCAGCGTCAGCATCACCATCATCCCCATCATCATCAGCATCATCATCATCACCATCATTATCATCATCATCGTCAGCATCACCACCGTCGTGATCATCGTCATCATCGTCATCACCATCAGCATCATCATCACCATAATCATCATCATCGCCGCCACCGTCATCATCATCATCATCATCATCATCATCATCATCATCATCATCATCATCATCTGCATCATCTGCATCAGCATCACCATCAGCACATCATCATCAGCAGCAACAACAGCTGCAGAAGCAATAGCATCATCATAATCAGCATCATCATCACAATCAACAGCATGACCATCATAATCACCAAAACCACCATCACTACCACAACAACCATCAGCATCATCATCAACAATTTCAGCATCATCCTATCAACCAACATCATCAGCATCATCAGCAGCAGCATCGTCATCATCAGCAGCACCATCATCAGCATCAGCAGCGTCATCACCATCATGAGCAACAGCATCATCATCATCATCACCATCATCGTCAGCATCATCTTCATCGTCCGCATCATCAACATCATCATCATCATGATCATCATGCTTATCACCATCATGATCGTCATCACCATGACCACCATCACCATCACCGCCACCATCTCCAGCACCATCACCATCACCAGCACCAGCACCAGCACCAGCACCAGCATCAGCATCAGCATCAGCATCATCAGCATCATCACTAGCACCTCCAGATGGTGCGCCACGTCTCCACCCACTCCCGCTGGGACTCGGCTGTCCTGTGGATGACGGCGGAGGCGCGGAAGACCCGACCGCAGTCAGCCCCGCCGCCGCCAGCCCTGCAGGGAGCTGGCAACGTCGCCGACTGGAGCTCAGGATCTACCAGCTCCCAAGCGCGTCCCAGAAGCGCCTCCCACGCCAGGAAGCCAGATACTGCGCCTACGCCAAGACAGGAGAGTCCGAAGCATGGCGGGCTTACTACTGCGAGCCCTGCGGGCAGTGGTGGTGTGCAGCAGGACCCGAGCAGAACCATTATCATCGTCATCCCCCTCCCTCTCCTCCTCCCCATCCTCCCTCCCCCTACCCGCCGCGCCTCCGCTCCCCAAGACGCCCCGGGCGGCGGCGGCGCTCCGCGAATCTCGCCACCAGGGCGTAGGGCGCACCG